GGAAAAAGATTCCCGGTACATCCTTGTGTGTAAAAACCAACTTTGTAAAATATTCATTAAGTTCTTTTAGCAATATTAGATAAAGAATACATGAAACGTAATACGACCGAGACGTAGAGACGTTAAGTATACCGGACATTATGGGGATGAAGGATCTTTTAATTCCAGAGGAGATTGTTCAGGATCGTCATACACATTTAATGGATACGAGTACGATGATGCTGTAGCAGAAATACAAATCAGAGTTACAATATCTTCTGGAAGAGGTCAATATGTGAAAGATACTAGGGAAAATCTCACTTGAGAATGGATTCAGAGCTGCTTGTTCATCAGGATCTGTAATGGATGTGATCAATGGTGCAACATTCTGTTCACATGACATCTATCGAGATGGTAGTGATGCCGATGACAAATTTTAATGTTCTTTTTACAGATCCAGCAAACCTGACATTCGGTTTGAATTCATCACTCAGTATGATAACAGTCCAATTAGGTACAGCTGCTTTTTCCCTGCAGATCAAAGGTAACCAGGTTATATGCGGGAAAAGCCTGGGATCAACCGAACATCCTCAATTATTTGCATTTGTATCCAATGAGTTGCAGGTTTCCACTCCTTTGCCCCGTCATCATCGATAAAAGCCAGCTCAATTGACCTCTCATTATACATGAACACAAAATTTGTCTACATTGAGCGCCACATGGGGTCCGAGATTGATCGTATGTATCAGGATCTTGTATTCCAGAGGTATAAGATTGAAGCGAAGACCATTCAAAATTTATTAACTCTGTCATTGACGTCACCTTTGTTTCAGATCAGTGAAATCAGTCAATACATCGAGAAATTGAAAAAAAAAAAACAAATTATTTATGAAACATTTTTCAAAAACCCATTTAAAATAAAAATCAGTTGAACCTTCCCCTTCCCCGCAAATTCCCACGCCAAAGGCTTTCGGTTTCATTAACAAGAATAATACAGTGAAGGAATCCACCTCAACTTTCACCCGCAGAATAATTTTACTAGAAGAGTGTTCCAAAACTCCATCTGGAAAAGAAAAGCAAGAATTCTATACTTCGCTGATTCCCGCCAACCGTCGACTTCTCGGTTTCGCTGGCATTCACCTCGAGGCCCCATTTCCGATACTCAGCCACCAACTTTCGAGTCATGTACTCAGCATCACCCTGATCTTGGGCGATAATTACTTGGTCATCAGCAAAGCATAACGTGTAAAAAGTTTCTTCATCATTCAGAGGGACACCCATTCCGGATCATTTCTTCTTCCATTCACGCAGTACATGTTCTAAGTATATTTTAAACAAGGTGGGGGAGAGGCAACACCCTTGCTTTAGCCCCTTTGTTACATAAAAACCCCCCGACAAGGCGCCTTGACATTTAATTCTTGCGAAAGCCCCGTGATAAAAATGCTTAATTGCATTACTTAGTCCACGAGTAAAATCAGATTTTTCCAAGGCCTCCCACAGTTTCACTAAAGGCACGCTATCACAGGGTTTTTGCAAATCCACGAACACCAAGTGCAATTCTTGACCAACCGCCATCTTCTTCTCAATAACCTGGGTGATGCCAAATAGATGGTCGACGGTTGATCTGCCAGCCCTGAAACCCGCTTGCACTTCTGCCTCATGATGAATCCATTCTTCTTCGATTTTAGCTTTTAATATCTTACCATAAATCTTACTGATCGTTCCGGTCACCGACAATCCGCGATAATTATCGAGATCGTCCTTTTTCCTTTTTTTGTGGGTAGCTGTAAGACGCAAAAGACACAAGAAGAGTGTTCCCATTGGAAGCATAACCAAATATACTCGAATCTTAAGATTATCTCGTACTTCTCCTTGCTCTTTCTCTGCACCTCCACAGGCTCCCTTCACGAATAAACCCCCAAGGAAGTAGCGGCCTGGAACTAAAGCGACAGTTCCGAAGGAACATAACCCCATGTACAACCTACAAGGGATATATTCGATAACGAGAGGTTTTACGTTTGAATCTCCGACGGACCCATTTCAAAAATGGATTCCTCCATCCTTGACGTACTTTTGTAATTGAAGAACACGCCACTTTTAAGCTGCGGTTTTGTTTTAAGCCAAATTTTTTTGGCGTTGATTCAACAGCGCCCTCTACAGGTTTATTCGAAAAAAAAACACCGACGACCACCATAAAATACCGCTCTCTCTTATATCATTTTTAACGAAATACACCATTAATTCCATAATTACTTTAATGGCTCCTTCTCTATGATAAATAAGTTATTTATATTTAGAAGGGGCGTTGCGTTCTTTGGGGGGGGGGGGAGGAGGGGAACCAGGTTGCGGTTATCTCACATCTCCAAAGGGAGAAAGATAAGGAGATTTCAAACAGACAGTTGTGATTGTTGCTCTATCCCTTACGTGTATCCCGTTCCCTTCCCTTCCCCCCCCCCCTTTTTTTCTGTGTTCACAGTGACTGAGCGACAGAATTCCAAAAAACCACCGTTACGAACCACTCTTACGAAGATATTTGTAGAAAATAAATGCGACATCCTAGATCATCCACTGCGGCCACCATTTGTAAAATGTTCAAATGGGTATTACATCTGCTGCTCGTGTCGCCAACGGCTGACACATGACGCATGCCCGTATTGCCGAATGCTCTTAACGACGGTAATTAAGGATCGTGTATTGAATGAAATTTTTTACGCTGTCCATCCGACATTTTGTTCGGAAGACCCAGAGCCTCCGTTAGGCCGGGGGGCTAGGCGATCCTTGAATGTAACCTCTGCTGGGCTTTCAAGACTGCCGAGGGGCAGGGGGCATCTGCTCTCCCAGTTGGGAGTATTAGACTCTTCCCCACCTCCACCAGGACAGAGGACGCAATTCGCTTCCAGATCTTTTGAGCCGGGGTTTAATGTAGTCCCTTCTAGCTACTCTCCAAGGCAAGAGCCAGAAGAGTCGGAGGAGGGGCTTGATGGACGAACGACAAACCAATCGGAAAGGCACGATGCGAATCTACAAAGAGCCATTGGGAGAAGCTTAATAGAGTCAGCGTTTGAAGAAACTCTTTGGAACACCTTAGATGTCGATGATTCAGGAAATATTTTTGCAAGATTCCCTGTGCGTAGGTGTTAGTGATGGTGCGGGACCCCTGCCTCCGGGGCTCGGGCTGTCTCAGCTGCGTCAGTAGGGCGGGTCATCCTACTCGTCTTGATCCCTTCGGGGTTCAGGGCGGGCCGGGACGTTCCCGTCATTCAGACTTATCAGCTGGAACGGTCTGGGCCACGGTAGAAGGGGTTGCCATGGTTGTGGATGAATAGATTTGAATGCTTTTGCAGTCGAAGCAGAGAAAAAAGTGGTTGATCGTTACAATCCCTGTTATAACCCTTTTATAAACCTTTATGATCTTTTGTGAAGAAAAGCTTTATTCCTTCAAAAAAAAGTGAGTTCTTTTTTGGTATTATTCAAACGGCTCCAAAGATCACCGGCAAATGCGACAGAGAGAAGAAATAATAGTCTTACGGGGACCACATTCACGCAATCCACGCGTGCAACTTCTTCCACAGCACCTGCAAGTGCGGCATTACACGACTTTTCAACAGACTTAATTTCGGAAGGAGACGTGTTCGAAAGATTAACTCAAAACGAATTGTTCAAGACGGAGATGGGCGAATTTGCCAAAACATCTCATACAAGCGAGGCGGGAGAGTGCATCAATTCATATCGGCGCCAGGCGATGGCACTTTTCTGCTAACGGTGAGCGTGACCAAAACTACGATTTTGAGGAATGTTCGTCAGGACGATTATTGGCGTCACGCCGATTTCCGAGCAACGATGGCATGGCAGAAGGACGAGGCACCGATGGTGGAGATGTTGCAACGCAGAGTGCTACAGGCAATAGACGAAATATCGGTTCAACCAGAGACGATCTTCAAGGAAATCGACCCCAACAAATGGAAGAAGTAAAAACATATCCCAAAGGTAAAGCTTATAAAATGTTTAAATTTATCCAATCGTATATTGCGTCACCATATCACGAACATTTGATTGTCGTGAATGTTATTTGGACCCTTTTCATAAACGCCTCATTCACGGTTTACGTGTCAACGTGTGCTTGATCAAATTATTCACGAAATTAATTTAAAATCAGTAACTGAGATAGGATTAACATATCTTTCCGTTCCATTTGAATAGCTATATTTCAATTCAGAAAACCCAAAATTTGAATTTTTCTCTTTACGTGAAAGCGTACAAATTTTGGAACTGTTATTATTACATCAATTCGTAGAATCATTTCCTGAATTTTTGCAAGTTTTAGTGGATACATTGAATTGCAAATATCCCAAAAAGAATTGTCTTTTAGTACGTCCAGATCCTAATGCAGGAAAAAATTTCTCTTTTGATTGTGTGGCACAATATATGCTTAATGCAGGACATTGCTGGTAATTCTAATAAAAATTGTAGTTTTCCATTGATGGAATGCGTTAAAAAAGAATTATTATTTGCAATAAACCGAGTTGTGAAAGCGATTTTTTTGAAGATTGTAAGACACTATTTGCAGGAGATCCTCTAAATGTAAAAGTTAGATATGAAAATGATGCAGTAATAATGAGAACTCCGACAGTAATATTATGTAATAAAGATCCATTTCTAACTAATAAGGCTTTCAGAAGTAGAATGATAAGATGTGAAGTCACGAGGAAAAGAAAATTCCTCTCTACTTGGCAACAAGTAGAAAGAGTCAAGACAAGAAGAAGAGAACAGACAAGAAAGAGAAGAGAAGAGAAGAGAAGAGAAGAGAAGAGGAAGAGTCAGACAAGTAGTCTTGATCGTCAAAACTATTCTCACGTAAGTTCAACTAATAATCTGTAAAGCGAAAATGTACGATCGGTATTCCAATCACCTACATCCGGGTTGTTACGATGGCCTGCCAATTCCTCTCGCCCTGCTGTACTAAGAGTATGGCCATCTTTTGGATGGAGAGCTAGTGTCTGCACTGTTTGATGGTTTCAGGATCAGCACAAAAATTAAAGATGCGAAGTCACCACCTACCATACCAAGTCTCTCGGTCAGTAGGAAGGGACTGGGTACATGACTGACTCGGCAGATGCTTTGCGGCCTACTCGGGCATGATAATTGAGGGAGGGATGTACCCTCATGAGCCTTGGCTAGGAGGGCTGGGGCGTTGTCCCCATACCGCCAGAACGATTGCTGCGTTCAATTGGGTAATCGCCGTTGCCTTACGAGAGTGCTCGCTTGTGGTGATGGGCGGCTCTCTATTAGTCCGCCCCGTCGGATGGGGGATCGAGGGGGCTACCCCCACGACTTCAGATATCACATTTTGACGAGGTTTTCAGGCCTCACTACTAACTCAAACATGCAAAAAGATTTACTAGAAACAACTTTCGAATTAAAATCATTTTAATCATTTTAAGGCGCCACATACTCGATGTGACGCAAGTCAATTTTTATCAAGAAGAAAGGCTCCCCCCACCCCCCCTTTTTTTACCTTCCTAATTTACCGACATGCTCCTGGTAAGATACGGAGAGATGGTTTTCAGGTTTTATAATCGCCAAGAAAATTGCGCACGAGCATGGCCGCTGGAATCAGGTTCCGGTGACTGATGATTTCCATGCAGCGAACCTCAATGGCACATACATTTGGTGATATTTGGGACTTTCTGAACATGGAATATACGAAGTTGTAAATTCCAAAAGTTGTTTGTTCCCGCCATTAAGACTTATCAGCTGGAACGGTCTGGGCCACGATAGTAGGTAAGTAGGGGTTACAATGGTAGTGAATGTGAAAAAAAAGTTTGTATTGCATTGCAGTCAAAACAGAAAGTTGGTGGATCTGTCCAATCCCTGTTTTTTAGTGACCTAATCCTTTGTAAACCCTTTATTTTTCCGAGAAAAAGAAGCTTTATATTCTCTAAAAAGTGAGTCTTTTATTGGTATTCTTCATTGTTGAATGAAGTTAATCTGCAGATTTTAGAGGAGCTGAAGGGGTTCCTTACCCGAATATTATGTATTTAAAGCAGTGACTCTTATTTCCGATTTTTCAAAGTCGAAACTCCCTTAGCACGCTACATTTCGATTTGTTACTTTAGAACTGCGTTCTCAAGCAAAACTGACTTTTTTCTTTGAGACAGAAAAACAGAGGAAACACGCACAGGGTCTTTAAAAAAATGGTAGGTTCGAGTAGTACTTGATTGGCACCTATTGGGGGCTCCTCGCCCGAAAATTATGTTTTTAGGGCAGTGATGCATATTTCTGATGTTTAATAAAGTTAAAATTACTTTAGAACGATTCGTTTGGAATTTAACCTGAAGAACTGCGCATTTAAGCAAAACAGACTTTTTCCTGGAAGACGAAGAAACAGAGGAAACACATACAGGATCTGGTAGGTTTGAGGAATCCTGCGAAAATTTTACGCTAAAACATGATGTCTAGAAATCTTAGATTTTCACAATCGGATACACTTTCAGCTTTTCCTAGATTTCAGAAAAGGAGATTCCTGAATGAAACCTGCCGTGTTTTTCCCGAGGTTCAGGGCAAAAATATTAATTGAGTTTCATCCTCCCCCATCAGTTTTGAGCCCGTGTTACCACGGACTACCAAAACATAACAAACAAACTCGAAATCGTCTGGAAGGGGAGAAAAAAGAAAATCCCGAGTTCGAGCATCAATTCGCTGAGATATACCGAAGGTGTCATAGTCTTTGACGAACCTCGGTTTTCGCGGGTCCTGGATACTCGGCGCTGAAATTGCGAGACATCGCGGGCAGGCGACCTTACCGTCAGCTTGGGCGACCTAAGGGCTGAAGCCGTAGAGCAGGGCTATGCGATGGAAGAACTCGGCGATGGCGTGTTTGAGGGGGGGATGAGTGGCGTAGGCGGTGAGATGCCGGACGCCGTTGAAGATGACCGGGAGGAGGATGCGGAGATCCAAGTCGGAGAGCTGGGCGATGAGGTCGAAGACGGACACGAGCATCTCCGCCCAAACCACCGTGTGCGCCTCGCTATCCTGAAATCACAACACAGAAATCGAAGTCAATCACGTTGGCCCAGAGTGTCTACAACAGAGGCAAGGGACCCTCCACTGACCTCTTGGCGACAAGTGGAAGCTTTTACTTTCGGAGACCCACAGAGTTAAGGAATTTCGTGAAAGATTATAAGAAGAAATTTCATGGGGAAAAAAAGAAGTTTCATGAAATTTCTTGTGAGATTTCACGAAATTTCATTCGATGAAATTTCTTTTAGCAACTCTGTAGACCCAACAATTCCTTATGGACAATTAGAAGGGAGCATCGGTCATCACCCTAAATTCGGCTGTTGACCTACCTACATGGTGAATGATGAGCTTCGGGTGACGTCATGAACGAAACAAGTTCCCCGAACTTCGGCCAATTTTGGCTCGTTCGCAAAACGAAACTGCCAACACGTTGAACACCAACCATGAAGGTAAGTCAACAGTAGAATGCTGAAGTCCCGAAAGTAAAAACTACTACCATGGCCAAGATACTAGAGAGGGGTCTCTTGTCTCTGGTCTACAATGACGTCGAATCTTCGACATAATACACGTATACCAAGAGTGCCGATGCTTTTTTAACAATTTGCATCCGCCTAAGAACTTGCCTGATGTATTCATTTCTTAAATAAGAGAAAAACCACATTTAATCGGCCAGGGTGTTTAAGTGTTGGCAATTTGACATCGCATTCAAGATCAGCAACTCGAAAGCATAAGAAACTGAACTGTTGTGATCCTTCAGCCATTAACAGACTTATTTCGTTCAATTTTTTTATTTCTGGACCATAGTGAGCCGTGAGCAGTGCTTGCGCTGCCAACCACTACGATTCTGTTAGGAATCTCAACGTTTACAGACCGGTTACATTGCCAATCAGCGGGAACCATCTTCTAGATGGAAATACCTTCCTATTAAAATCTGCTGTTCAAGAATGGAATATGGTGAGAATCATTTAGTACTTGTGTGCCTATACCTTATAAATCATTCTTATGTATTCTTATGACCGTGAACAGTCTAAACTTGTTCCCACTTGGGCCCATGCAATTAAATCATGGAATGAGAACAGAGTCTAGTCGAACCGAACGCAAACGAATAAACATACCGGAGACCATGAACAGTCTAGACTTGTTCCCACTTGGGCCCATGCAATTAAATCATGGAATGGGAACAGAGTCTTGTCGAACCGAACGCAAGCGAATAAACAGACCGGAGACCGTAAACAGTCTAGACTTGTTCCCACTTGGGCCCATGCAATTAAGTCATGGAATGGGGACAGAGTCATGTCGAACCGAACGCAAGCGAATAAAGATTTGTACACACGCTCTAGCCCACTCAATTAAAAAGTGGCATGCTTACAGAATCTTTCCTATCCTCCAATGACCACGATCGTGGACACCTTCAAAATGTGATGATGCATGAAACTAGACGTTTACGGAGACGCGAAAGAACCGGAGACCGTAAACAGTCTAGACTTGTTCCCACTTGGGCCCATGCAATTAAGTCATGGAACGGTAACAGAGCCAGGTCGGGCGGAACGCGAGAAAATGAAGATTCTTATTATACAATTAAAAAGAGACATGCCTACAGAATCCGTTCTGGTGTTCAATCAGATGTTAATTTTAATAATTTCTGTTATATTACCCTAGCGCTCTGGTCGAAAATGAAATTGAACGCGAAAAAAACCGTGAAAAAGGCCTATATTGCTCTAAGACCCATGGGTACGGTAAAGCATTTCTCTGAGGAAATTCTATGGCCGGCTGAAACCTTCAGTATAAACATCCTGCACTTAGTACGCTTGAGTTGCAGAAATCCAGTGTGGGGCCGACATCGGCCCTTGGCGATACGCAATTTGCTACTCGCCAATTATTGAGCTACCGGTTTTCAAGCTGGCCTGAACCACCAGAGCACAATGTGTTCTTTCGAAATTTACAGTGGTTATGTTGCACTTACACCAATGTTACATAGTGGTTATGAAAGATGGGAAATTTTTTTAATTTCATTAATAATGTTTGCACTTGAGGAATCGATGAGGTAACTCCTGCAATTCCCGGCGATATTTACTTATAAGGAGTTCTCAAGCAAATCTGAATATCGATAATGTCCCTTCCAAACCACGTTTCTTGGTTTCCGACGTTGTAGACTTCCTGTTATACTTGATTTTTTAAAAGTTGGGCTGCTCGACGTCGATTCTTAAAATTTCCGTGATTTTTCCTTTCTGTGCGAGGAAAATTTTGAGGAAACTCTGAGGAGTGATGTTGATTTGTTCTCCAAAAATAAATAAAACAGGACCGGAGATTTTTAAACATCGCAGACGAGGTCCGTGGTTTGTTAGTTTCACCGTCGATATGGGGTTCTTCACCTTCGAAGTCAGGAAAGGCAGTTGATTTTAAAGCTTCAGCCTACCGCCCGCTGTAGGGAGGGAGGGGGTGTATCCCATGCAGATAGCGATGCGTCTAATTGAAACGTAAGCATGAATTGAAATTGATGACATACACGTCAATACTCGTCGAAAATGAAATTGGATGTATGCCGGATTGAGTATGTAAGCCGTCTCACTAAGCAGAGCAGACGCGAGGTGAATGATGAATGATTAACACCTCGTCAGAGATCGGAAGAAAAACGTTACTAAAAGGCTCTCGGACCAATTAGTCAAGTTTGTGAGGAGGTCTTCGACAGCAGATACTATACTCGGGAGTGCTCGACTTGAACCGACGTCTCGGAACAACTTAATTCCAAACGAGAGTTTCTGATGAAGCAGGAAACTCGAGCAACCGGTGCAACTCAAGCGAGAGATTTGGGATAAGCTGGAACAGTAACAAACGAACAATTGTTTCGTACTTTTGAGTCCATGAAACGGGGAAAGAGGATAACGCACTCTTTCTTCGCCAAGTCGTTGTTCCTCTGACGTGAGGGCGTACCTCGATTTTAGCATGGGCCCTAGAGAGCGTATGTAATTATATGTAAAACGGGGCTCACGTGGAAAATGAGATACGCCGCCCTTATTTCAAAGGGACGACTGTATACACTGGAAAAAAACCACATTGGATCTAGAGTCGAGACTCTTAAAAACATCGACAAGAAAAAATACTCTTGACTCAATCAGATTCAAGCATAAATCAAGAACCAAGCCTCTTAATTTGAGCGGGTTTCCTTTTGATTTAAGCTCAAATCTGATTGAATCATGAGTCCTTTTTCTTGTCAATGTTTCAAGAGTCTGGACTCTAGATCCAATGTGTTTTTTTCCCCAGTGATGTTCATTCCTGAAGGCGAATTTTAACTTCTCTTAATCGGTCAAATACACAATTAAGAATTTCCGTGTTTGATGTTACTCTGTGTTACTTTTTTTGGGGGTCAGATGAACCCAATGAACTTGGTTGCACAACACGATTTTGTGTTGAACCGGAGGCTACTCTGAGACATCGGATCATGAAGAAAGTACCCTGCCGAACTCAGGTACTCTTGTTCTCCTCCCGATACTCAGAAGTCGCAACTTGCGTGTGGCGTGGCTAGCGCATTGGATTACTGCCGATGTGATCCAGGTCGATCCTGGCGGCTGGCGACTAATTTTGAACGAGGTCACAGATTTTCAACGGTCATCTCAACCATGAGATTTGGTCGATTTGACACTGAGAAAACTAAAGCCAAATATATCAACCAAAAAGCTTGTGTTGGTTTACTTCGTGTTTTACTTCCCATATTAACACTAAATTTTTGTTATTTTTCCTTACTGCGTACCCATATTATGGAAATAGAAACCTACCTTTATCCTGATCAATGCTAATATCATCATCATTCGATGCTTACTTCCAAATGATACGAAATCAAATACACAACTGCCACTTGTAAAGAAAACCTCTTGGACCAATGCCGCGGTGCATTGACTTAAGAGTGCAGTTTCTTGTCGCCGGATTTAAGAGTCTTGAGCTCTTGTTTCAAGCGGATTTTGCATTGAAACAAGAGTCCAGACTCTTAAATCCGGCGACAAGAAACTGCAATCTTGAACCGAGAGGTTTTTTTTTTACCAGTGGTATAAAGGAGGAGAATGATGTCGTAGCGTGATCAATTAAAAGTTTAAGAAACCAAAGAAAACGAAGGTAAATGGCAAGGATGCAGAAAGTTCTTAGCCTTTCCATTTTAAAAACCCCTTTCCAAATGTCAAAAAGGTTATTTTTTCATGATTTTGCACACATGGATTGCCTCGATTTTTACCGCGATATAATACGAAAACACGTGATTTTCGCCGCAGTTTTCAAAAAGAAATGGCGATTTCCTTGGCCTTCCCGTGTTTTAAACCCCGCTATCGGGATCTTCCCATGTTCACACGCGACCCATGATAAATAGTACTGAAAATACACTGATATTTCCTTCATTATTTATGTTGCGGCCATGACCTGCCACGCTCCTATTTGCAAAATGTAAGTTTTTGTTTAGGTTGAACATGTCAGTCTGCTCCAGCGGTCCGTTGGCGAGTGCACGCGTATCAAAACGGTTTATTTCACGAAACAATCATGCGCAAACAGCCACGAGTCCGCGAAATCCCACGCAAAAAGTCAGAAGAGAAAATTTTAGCTCCTGACCTGTCGAAAGCTAGCCACACCTCGACGAAACACAAATCTCTGGGTAGTAAATTCGTAAGAAACACAAGGGTCAGGCTGACCCTCATATTCACCTACAACAAAATAAAGAAGTAAAGTAACCAATTGATTCAGGGTGTCTACTAAAACAGGCTGGCCGAAAATCAGTACTTTTACAGTACTTTTTCAGTATACATTCCCAAGAAATTCAGTACTCCTCAACGAAAAAATTCAGTACTTTATAAGTACTTCAATTTGACGAAATTCGAAAAATTGCAAAATTTTGAATTTCTCGCTCGAATTGCGACAAAAACGAGTGAAATTCCGGACCTTCTTGCGCAATTTCCGCACTTTTTCAGTACTTCCGGACCGCCCTTGAAAAATCAGTACTATTTCCGGTCTTTCCGGACTTGTAGACACTTTGTAATTATAGAATAAAGGATGAAAGCACAGTGCGACTGTTACCTGTGCACCTCAAACTTTTAATATGATGCGAAGCTCAACGCTGTGAATATTCGGCGATTTCAATCTGGCAACGGTGGAGCGGAGGTGCGCTGCGTATTCTCGCGCGCGATGTCAAATTTAAATAATGCTCGCCATCCATCAAAATCTTGCGCGTTTGTGCAGACGGGAAGCATAAGATCATGTTAAACAAAACCCATTTTACCATCAGTCAAGTGCTTACGATTGAGATGCACTACAGGAAAACTGTGGAGAGATGAACGCTACGGTAACAGACTGATCTGGTGATGACATGCGTCCACGATAGGTCCAATGTTCTATCAGAGAAAAATAACCCAAAAATCTTCAGCTCCGAGAGCTTGATTCCGAAGCCGCGGATTGCACATATTTTTTAAGTTCTCTATCATGTGGGGTAGCCAGAACTTGACGGATTTTAAAAAAATAACTAGGAATCTTCAAATCTATGAAGATTGATCCGTGGATCGTCAAATAAATCGTGAATATACTTGTATCCCGGTAAAAAGCACACCAAACATTGAACAGCCTCTCACTCTAACTGCAATTGACACATACATGCTTACTCATTTTCTGATTTTCTACTAAAATTCGTTTATTTTCTTCAAGAGAACCTTACAGATTTTCTTCCCTCGCCTTCCCATATATTTTAGCATCGGCTCCGTCACCTGATAAAATAAATAATTGCAGATGCGTGGCAAAATGAGTGGCCGCCCTCCCCACACCAAAAAAAATCAAACACTGGAATAAAGTCTCTATGATGCAAAGTCCAGACTCTAAAAAAGTACTTTTGATTCAATCGGATATTTGCTTAAATCGAGAGCCAAGCCTCTTAATTTAAACGGATTTCCTTCGGAATCAAGCAAAAATTCGATGGAATCTAGAGTATTTTTTCTTGTCGCATTTTTTTTTAGAGTCTGGACTCAATATGAGACTTCTGTCCAGGGAAATGTATTTCAGAAAGATAAAATTTTCACAAGATTTAGGAGTCCATACCTGATAGCCCCCTCTTCGTTTTGATACACTTTATACCAAGCTAACATAATTTCCAGTAAACACCGCTGCCCATAGGCACGGAGACGAAAATCAACCGGAAGGGTGATCTTACCTTGAACAAACTGTCGTTCCTCTGGTGCTCGATTTCCGGCGGAATGGGCTCCGCGGGCACGAGGAAGTTATCCGCCGGCGTGAAGGGGTTCCTCCTCTTGGGCGCGCCTTGATTGTTGGGCATCACGCACGTCTTCTTCCTCCGTTTGTACTCGTCCATCATCGAGCTGACCTCGGACTTGCCCGCGACGTGGTACACCGTCGCGGGGCCCTCGTCCTCGCTGGTGCAGTTGGACGAGTCGTTGGCCAGGTCCGCCAACTTGAACGGTTTCGCGGGGGTCTTCGCGACTCGCTTGTCTTTCTCCTCACGGTCACGATCGATCTCACCCTCCGAGTTCTCGTCCCCGGACGCTGGGCTATTCTTTTCCGAACTGATCTTCGGGGAGTCTCCGGGGGGCTTCTCCCGCCGCTTGATGTCAGGGAAGTCGTCCGTCTGGGCGATGAGGAAGAACATGGGCTGGTCGGAGATCCTGTCCACCGCCGAGTGGGCGCCGTCTTTATCGAGCAGGATATCGACGTACGTGTCGCAGAGGGCGTCGAAGCTCTCCCTCAGCCGAAGGATGAACGAGCCGGGCCCTTCCTCCCGCTTCTCGAGGATCTTCTTGACTCCGTCCAGGGTCGCGTTGGTCTTGGAGACCTCGCCGAGGCAGATGTCGAAGAGCGTGACGAGTTTGAGCGTCCAGCTGGCGCCGGCCTGGCGGTACAGGTTCGCCGCCCGCTCCAAGTTGGCCACTTTCTGGACGAGGAACTTGAGGCCCGGCCGGGAGTCGAACTGCAGGGCTCTCTCGTAGGAGACGTTCAGGCACAGCAGGAGGGTGTGGATGTGCGCGTCAGACATGTATCTCATGAAGCCTGGCAGGGCCCGAGTCCCGAATTTCGCGCTGTGGTCGCCTGATACTGGAGTTATGGCCGGACTTTGAAGCAGGACATTCGCCAGGCTAAAATCAGAATTGGAAGAGGGTGGGAAATTAAATTCAGGCTACTCCTTGTAATTTTTGGTAGAAAAAGGGTATTTAAAAAAGAAAGAAGCGGAAAGCGCTGAGTTGTAATGGACTGTTTCTGTCGTGACGTGATTTAGAAAATTAGCTTTCTAATTTAAAGAAATGAATTGTTTTAACCCAAACAACGTTCTTGAAAAAGCCTGCACTTAGCCTTCCTTTGAAAAGAAGAGGAAAAAAATCAAGTTAACCGATAACGTTCCTTGGTGACCATAGACGTACCATTCTTTCGAGGGGGGAAAAGAAGAAAAAAAGAAGAGAAAAAGAACTAACCGATAGAATTCTGGTTACACAATTAAAAGTGAGTCTATATTTATTTTTATTTTTATCATGTGACACTGCCATAAAAATGTGATGCGCACAGTTAGATCTGCCATTAGAATACGCTTATTTTTTAATTTAATTCACAGGCTCAAGCATGTCCTTTGTGATAGATCGTTTTTTAATGATAATCAGTGTTGAAAAATGTAGGAAACGACCTCCACCAAGCTTGAGGGCGACTACCTCAAAGATTTGGATTGCTTCACCTGCATCTTTTTCGGAGGTGTCGATTGAAAGTTTCGAAACGACGACCTTACGAAATTAAGGCATCCTTTTAAAAGATAAAAAACAGGTATTTTAATTACCTGGGGATGACGTGGGGAGTCCCTTGAACGAGAAGACTCCCGATCGTTTGTAGGAGCATTTGGTGAGCCAGGAGCCCGACGACCAAGCCGTAAAAGGAAACGCGGACGACATTCTGCTCAGGGTTGGCGCTTTCCGCGGGATACAGGAGGAACGTGTAGCTCCTCTCTTCAACTTCGTGAGCATCCTCGTATGCTCCTTCGTCGCCCCGTTGGCCCTCTAACAAGAATACCTGTCATAGAACAACAGATGAAGAACCATTCATAAAGGGATCTCCTGAAATATTCATTCAGTTAGGAAATTGGGTTGAGGTGATTCGATGGACGCCATATTTTGTGTCAGAACGGCATGCGATATACCGCATCAATTGGTTCCATTTTTTCAGCTACTCGTCATTTTCCTCCAATTTTGAGATCGCAATTCTGTTGTCAGGGGACTGAAGCACTCACTGACCAATTTTAACAAAGAAATTCAACGTAATAAAGGGGTGGTTTTTTTAGAGAGAAAATATCGCATTCGAGTGCAGTTTCGATATCAGTGTCGAATGCTATGTTTTCTCTCTAAAAAAACCACGCCTTTATTACGTTGAATTTGTTTGTAAAAATTGGTAGGCGAGTGCTTTAGTCACCTGACAACAGAATTGCGATCTCAAAATTCGAGAAAAAAGATCAGTAGCTGAAAAAATAGAGCCAATCGATGCGATTTATCGCAAGTCGTTCTGACACAAAATATGGCGTCCATCGAATCACCTTAAGACCATCTAAAGAGCATCGATCAAGGATCGTAGATTATTTCAAATTGGCCTTCCCATTTTAAAAACCCCTTTTTTCTCAGTAATTTCAAAAAGATGACTTCGAAACGGCTCTATACGTATAATTTGCCGCGATTTGACGTAAAACACTTGATTTTTACTGCAGCTTTAGGCGTTGCCTCCACGGGACGTTTTGATAGGGACGACACTGACTTCCGCTAAACGTTGGACAGACTTTGGAGATAAAATTTTGGAAAAAGGCATTCAATAAAAGGCCTCAACTTTGATTTCACATGCAGGACTTTAGAAAACCGGGAGCGCCCTCGGAAATTCTGTGAGGGAAAGAGCATGCGTTTCGGGAGCTGACCTGTTGAGAGAGGTGCTTCATCCTGAGAAACTCCTGCGGGGAGGAGTCCTTCCTGGCGGCAACTTTCACCTGGGCGTAGTCCCCGTAAAAGCTGAGCGAGCCGGCGCAAAAGGCCGCGCTTAGCTGGGCCACCGGGAGGAGAGAGATTGTTACGGCGCGGTGAAGACCCACGCACACCAGCTCCCACTGGTCCGCCGACATCTTCGTTCCCAGTTCCATGACTACGTGCCTGCACAACACCAAAGCCAAAAATGGCATAAATTATTACGTATTGATGCAAAGTGTACATACATACATAGAATCGCTTTTATAGCGCCGCCTCGCGCTCTGCGACGCCCAATCGCCATTGCCCCCTATCCTCCCAGAGATCATCAGGCAATTGGCACCTTCTGATCTCCTCCTCCACCCCTTGTCGCCAACCTTTCACAGGACGTCCACGCCGCACAGTGTGTCAAAACCCCAATCTAGCTACTCAAAACCCCCCTTATATCAAGTCAACAAATGGTGTTATTTATGGTCAGAGTGGGTCCACAGGCACCCACTGGTTACGTATCTATCATGGTTATCACAAAAATAAATTTTTTGGTCGCTAAAATGATAGGGATTGCAGCCGGTAAACGTCCAGCCTCAATCTCGCCATCAGGAGTGGTGCCACTGAATTGCTTTTTTTTTTAGAGTACTTCGTGGCGAAAAAGGGTCATCTCTGGATGAAACGAGATGCCAAAGGCCAGAGAAAGGAAATATGACCGTTGATTTCTCCAAAATCATTATTTAAGTATTATAATTGCTCATTGAAAACAGTGCCCAAGACCGTTTACTTTTCCTGGCTTTAATAGAGCCGCAAAAGCGCGGAACTACACGGAACACCATGAAACTTATATGAGAGTGTTCAGAAAACTATGTAGATTTGAAATGTCTTTAGTTTTACTGCGACCTTCCGCGACCTTGAGAGTAAGAGCACATTTTGTTCGGCGATTCCTAGTGTAAAAGCGTGCGGGCGGCGTTATGCGATCTCCCCCGACAGGCTGTCACAGGTGAATTGAGACGGAGGCAGCATCTCACCACGCGCGCTCGGTCCCCTGATTTGAGTGAGCCTTGTCATGAGGCTTTTCACCGGCGTAGATAAGATCGTATGGTGGCTCAGTTGATTGCTTCTTTCATTATTACCTGCATGACCGGGGTTCAAATCCCGAACAAGACCAATTTTTTAAAATTTTATTTTCTTTCATTACGATTTTCCCATTATCTATACTGTCATGGAGGGGGGTCCTCAAATACAAAGTTGCATCGTATTTTTAACAAGTTTCTTGTATGATTTGAAACAGACTTTCTTATTTATTTCTAATGAGGAAAGGTTTCGGACATGATTTATGAAACGTAGGAAAATGAAAAGGGGGGGGGGGGGGCTCGCCGAAATTTTCCTTTACAGGCAAACATTTTGAAAATATTATCTTTGACTTGTCACTTAGAGTTGCCGAAACGTATCATTTTAATAATATGGAATTCATATTTCTTTGGATGGCCAAATGAGAAATTCGCCATTTTGAAGTGGAATGGACAAGCCCAAGACATCCTCCAGGACTTATTTTGGATCGGAAAACACAATTTGACTAATTTTTGGGGTTCATCAGGTCACATAAGGCGCCTAAAATTTAGTTGAAATTTTACGATTTTTACATGAGTTGAACAGGATTTTTAGATGGCCGCCATTTTGAAAATTTTGATGACTAAGTTTTGAAATTTTAGGTGAACCTTCTTCAAGCTTACACTAATGCCGGTGCGAAATTTGGTGGTTATCCGATCAAATTTAGAGACGTGAAGAGGTTTTGAGCAGCTAGATTGGGGTTTTGACACACTGTGCGCCGTCGCCTTCCGGGAGGAACCCAATCGAGGACCTGCTTGTGCAAAGTGTACACTGGAAAAAAAAAGAATCTTAAAGCCGCCAAGAAGTATTTCTTCTTAAATCAAGAATTTTTCTGGTTAATATAAGCTACTTTCTTGCTTAACCCAAGCATCATTTTTCTTTTATCAAGAAAAAGTCAGCTTGAAGCCAGAAAAAAAAATTTCTTGGCGGCAAATTCAGGAATCATCATGCTTGATCCAAGCTACTTTTTTTTCAGTGTAGAGGTGCATTTGCAACGGGAGTGAGCGAACATCGAGCTATCGAAAAAAGTTTGAGAGAAAAAAAACTAGTTTTACTTTGAATTTTTGGCAAAGTGCGGATCCATTTCGCTTCGAGACACATTGTTACAGCTGTTCGTCCCTAAAAAAATCTCCTCTGTAAACCTTCAATTACAGTTAAAATTGTCCTAACTTTTGTCTAAAAAAAACACGAGCCCTGCCTTTCGTTGACTACGCAGAGCGCTACGGCTCATGAGATTTCGAACTTACGCTTGTGTAACTGAAACCGATTCAATTAGGGATCCTAGAGGAGAATTTGCAACCAGTCGAAGTACTTAACGTAACAGTGTCGTTTTTTATTGAAAAGTTCAGCAGAAACCATTATGGAACTTTGTAAGTTTTTTAGACACCTCGATGTTTGCACAGTTTCAACATTGTCACCTCCAACCGCCATAAAAGGATCCTGCGATGGAGAGGAAAAGGAGGTGGTAGGATTTCCAACATCTTGGAAAGATGTTGATGACGCAAGGGAGTACAGACTTTCTAGTCATCCATTTTCTAGGCAATGAAGTGGTTTAAGCAAAAACGTCGAACATCGAAAAGTACTTTAAATTAAATTTTATGTTAAATATCGCAAAATTACGACTTATTAAACATTACGACTTATTATCTTCGTAGATTGAACCTCAGATATGGCCGCCATTTGGTACCTGCGCACACGCCTATGTAACGGTGTATAGGCAAATGGAAAGTTCCCGTAACTCCTCGCCTTGTTACGTCAACCTTATATATGTCGCCTTTTCATGAAAATAAGTTTAGTACCCCAAAAAAAATCAGTGAGTTCGTCTTGTTTGCTTGTGACTGGTGCCACTGACCCACTACCTCCAAGGGGCCCATAATACTTCTAAAATTTACTTCATAAAATTTCTAGAGTCAACCAAGGATTTCCACGGAAAAACCCTTCAATTTTCCTGGGTTCCCGAGGGGGGAAAACATGTAAAATTCAACGATAAAATCGGTCAAAACCTACAGTTCTCAACAATCATTGATGTAAATGGCCAGAAGTTTCCCGGTTTTCAGCGGGATTTCCCCAAATTTCCCTTGTCTTTGGCGGTTTTTCCCTACGGAATTGAATGCACGATGTTTTACAAGTTTCCCCTGTTTTGGGAGTAGTTCAGAGCTTTGCGAGATCAAAACGATTTTAGACAACAGCTCGGGTCAGCAAGTGACGCTTTCCATTGAAAATATAATTTATCGATTTCAGACCCAACCTTCGTGTCTTCGCCGCTCAATATCCTACACTGGAAAAAAAACACAATGGATCTAGAGTCCAGACTCTTGAAAACATTGACAAGAAAATGGACTCTTGATTCAATCAGATTTAAGCTTAGATCAAAAGGAAATTCGCTCAAATTAAGAAGCTTGGTTCTTGATTTAGGCTTAAATCTGATTAAATCAAGAGTATTGTTTCTTGTCGATGTAAATAAGATTCTGGACTCTAGATCCATTTCTTTTTTTCCAGTGTAAGAATTTTATCTTTGAAGAAAGAGCGTCCCGCGAAGTCGAATTTCTCCCTGGCCAATAGCGTTTTACTGAGGATCTACGAATCGAATGCACCGAGGAACGAACTCCTGCAACAGTCGAAAGCGCGACCCCGTCGACACCTCCCGAGTGCCCCCCCCCCCTTCTCCGCTCTCTTCAATCACGCAGAAAAATGACTTTACGACAGGATCATAGGACGACGAAAATGGAACGAGTCATCGGGAGGAAGGGACGGGCAATCAGCACGAGTACTCGTGTGGAGACAGGGTTTCGCAGGTTAGGAGTGTCTGTGGTCGTCCTTTAAAACCGATCTTATTGGTTGTGTGGTTACACGCTACGAACATACGCTCCGACGTTGTCTGCACTTATCACGAAATATCTTTCCGTCTTTCTACTCGTTGTTGTGTCTGGACGGGAACCTGAATGTATTCAAGATCACGAATTGAGTAAATTTTCAAATTTTCCTCATTTCCTCCGCCTTTAATGACGTTTTTCCTGATAAATTGTGCCAAAATGTTGTTGTTTGTTTAGGTTGATTGGCTTAATTCCGCCTTAGGGATAAACAGCCACTTACCAAAGGGCGGGATCACACACTACGTTTTTAGCAACAAAGATGAACAGATAAAAAATTAATAGGTCGAAATTCCTTATCTTTCGTAGATTCAAGCTAGCTTTACCAGAAGTATATGCCCCACTACGTAAGCCCTAGCTTTATTCCGCAACAGTGCCTCTTTTCTTACTTGTACAGAGAAACATCTCCAACTTCGTGGCCCGAAATTCCCTAACATTTCAAAAAAAAATACGACTAAAATGTAGTTTTCCCTCAAATTCTCTGACTTTCTTTGATTTTCCTTTACTTGCGACGCTAATATTATTTCGACGCGGTGACGTGCCAACATGAAGGTGAAGGTTAGGAGAGCGGTTTCCCCCTCTTGAGAAAAATCAGAGGAGTTTTAGAAAAGATCCGCAAGAAAAAAAGAAATGAATAGAAAGCAAAGAAGGGATGTTTAATAAGGGGATATTATTATCAAGTTAAAGCCCCTATACTTTCTAACACTACATTACGCCCCCGTTACCGTACCTCAACAAGGTCAATTTCAATTGAAGGAACCGGGCTGCTTTCAGAAAACTACAACCGAGTTTTGAGGGAAGCAAGAGGTTCGTCCATGATTTGGCCTTAGAGAACTCTACAAGAGGGGAAAAAATCAGAACAAATTCGGTTTCTTTTCATCAAAGCTATATTTGCCCAGGAACCCCGGGGTGGCCGTTGAAATTAGGATTGGAAGTTTCGAGTTTTTTCAGGGTTGTCCTGAACAAATTTGGATAATTTTTTGTCTTGTAAGAGGATACAGTATGATGAATATCAACAAATTTTTCGATCCTGCTAGGAGGCGAGCTTAAACTGTGTGACTTAAAACGTGAAAATTCGACATGTCCGTCAACGCAAATTTTTCCATTTTCCGTTTTTCCTAACCTACTACTTTTAACTGACATCACCCTGTTTCTGAGGAGGACTGACTCCGAAACTCTTTGGTTTCTCCTTGGGTTGAAATGTTTAGAGAGGGT